ACGGTTGCTTGGACTGCTTCTCCTCCCTGTTGCATGTAAATTGCATACGCCTTGACTTTGTTTCGCATGCGATCAGGAGCAAAGTGCCATTGCCTTGCAGCAGATCCTGAGAGCTGTCTTCTACTTGCACTCGACCGTGCTGGGTTTTGGTGCATCGTGTGCATGAGATGGCATCATCACGTGTTGACGTTTGGGGAGCGGACTGAGGCATTTCTGATTATGTAGCATGGCCCAAACCCCGGGCTCGAAGTGCTTTGGAGCCGCAGGAACGGAATTGTGCATCGCGACTTGAAGGCTCGAGCTTCATGGTGTCTCAAGGAGGGCTCCGCAAGCAGGCTCGTGACTCTAGAGTTACTTTTTTCGCGTTGCTTTGGGGAGGTTCGGAGGGCTCGGAGTCTCGAGGTGACAGGCTGATTGCAGCAAGACATGGCCGTCTGTTTTTGGAAAGGGGCGGATGCCGAAATGTCCCCAGCCTTTCATCGGGGGTTGCGCTTCCGGCAATGAAATGCTCAATGTGCACAATGAAAATAACAGTGATCTATGCAATATCTGCTCAGAATTGTGCATATATGCATAAATACATTTTTTAAATGTATCTTCATACATAGGCATCCTTAAGTAGATAGAATATTTGAAAATCAGAAAAAGCAAACCCCCCTCTCCGCCTCAGCCTGTTGCAGCCTGCTCGCGGGAACCCCATAGATAGAATATACCTGGCCTCAGCGTGGACTAAAGCCCTGCAGGCCCTCGTAAACCCCCATACATGGAATACACCAGGTTTCAAGTGAAGACACATAGAAGCTGAGACGCATAAGTCTCGCAGGCCGTCATTGTAACCCCATCTGGTGCTTGACGAGTCTTGAAACCATAGTTAGAATATGTGTGCAGGAGGGCCCGAAACGGGCTTTTTTTCGGGGTCCCGAAAATATTCTATCTATGGGTTTTGGGACTCTTTGAGATATTCTATCTATGGGTTTCAATATTCTATCTATGGGTTCCGTCAAAAACGCGGGAAAAAGCACAAAACCTCGAAAATAGAACCCCCCCCCCGAAAACCATATTTTATCTATGCAAGGATGGCTATATACATATATGTAGACTGAATGCCTCTCTTCGAGGCGGACAACGTGCTCTTGTCAACCGACGAGTCCATCAGGAAGACGTGGGGCCACCCAGGGTTCGGACTTTGAAGGCTCTGACGCACCGGCTCCGATGTCTCAAGAAGGGACCTCAGGGACCTCAGACCTCAGGGTTCCGCTTGAAGTCAAAGAATATGCTAAGATTGGGGGTGATGTCTGCTTGAAGGAAAAGGATTGAACAGATCAGGGAAGATTTCTAGGCGTTCATCCTGGCGGCGTGGGGGACGACCCATTTGCACGCGGGATCTGCATTGAGGCCTGAGCCCCACTTACACCACGAGAAGTTCACCCAAACAGTAAGAAACCATGGGCACACGAAAGAGCACCGCAACGGTTCAAGAGCACGTCCCAAAGACACCAAGAGCCCAAGCGACAGCTTCATTTGGCGAAGCCAGAGGTCCAAAATCGACGACAGTTGGAATTTGGCGAAACGTCAAATCGCGTTGGCAGTGTCGAGGACGACGAGCGCGCGCTCGCCCCGGCGCCTAGGCGAGAGCGCGATCGTAGTCAGCAGGAGAAAAAACGGACGGTCCCGGACCGCGCGTTCCGCGCGGCACATCTGTCTACCACCGCTTACTCTTCACGTTTACTCTTCACGTTGGAGAGTCTCCTTTATTTTGGGAATTTGAATGGTGCACTTGACCTGAGGCTGCTCAAGGTCTCGGACTTCGGCCTGTCATGCTACTTCAAGCGCCCTAGCTGATCCTTACAAACAGCTTCATGCGCCACACATTCATCTCAGTGGAGATGGACAGTTTGCAAGAAGGGTTGAACATGCCGGTGCTGATGTCCTCGCTGTCAGCGCCATTTTTGATGCCAGCGATTGCTTTTGACCTGCCAAGCTTTCCGTAGTGTGTCAGCCGCCCTGCGCCGTCTATCTACCTTACCTGTCTGTCTCACTGTCGGTGATGTCTAAGTCTATCCATCGATCCATCTATCGCCATGGCTCCAAGCATCTACCCATCCATCTACTTGACTTGTATCTGCCTAATGTGGGGAAAGATATCAGAATACACCCATGTACATATTGCTATCACAATTGATTCATGTAGTATTATCTTCAGTTTCAGGCTTTCAGGTAAACTTTCTGGCATTCATCATGGGCTCTCGTATGTGGAGGGGACGGTTTGCCTGCTACACTCTTCCAGCCGCAGACAGTCAGTTGCACATCTGCAAACCCGACTCATCGATCTTGTATCCAAGATTGCATACACTGGTGCCGAGGCCAAACCAGATCTTCGTTGACAAAGTGGGTACAGTCACGCACATGGCACCGGAAGTTTTGCGACGAAAGTCATCCCGACGATGGTTGCCACCATTTATCATGTCTTGGGACAACTGCGTCTGGTGGAAACAAGTGACTAGCACTTCACTTTACGAGCGCGTGTGGCTGAGAGCGTTGTTGGGTTGGATGTCGTTGGTGCTTCACTTGGTAGCGACATTTCGGTGTTGTTTTAGCAGCGCGCCTCGCGGGACAAGTGGCTACACTTTGCCTGCATGAAAGTCCAGGCCATTTTTTGCCATTGCCGTTCGCGCCGTTTTCGCGCACTTTGGCGCCTGCTCTGGGCTGTTTCGCAGGAGTTTGGCTTAGGGCTTAGCTGAGGGTTTAGGGTTTGTAGTATGTAGGGTGTAGGGTAGATTCGAGGGATGTGGTTAGCCGTGGCGCGAGCGCGCGAGCTTTCCGGGCATGCAGCCATCTGGCTCATCTGTCGGCATGCAATATCCAGTTCATAGGGGGGTTGTGCCAACATCCTGCCCTCGTTACAAAGTCGTTTTCAATGTGTTCAATAGACCTTTGATCCATTGCAAGAGAGGACCCTCAAAAGGGATCCGAGTTTTGAACAGCCCCCATGAAAACACAATCTTTGATCAGGCCACGTCCTCGAGGTTCAGGGAGACATTCTGATAGAGCACCTGGCAGCCTCCGCAAACTTCACGCCGGCTTTGCATCATGCCATGAGCCACTGGAGGCCTATACTCCACTTTTCAGCCAACCCATCATGAGTCAGGTTGCCCTCCCGAGCAGTCGTGCTTCCTGTCACACCACTTGCATCATGTGGCCACGTGACGGCTACGGCGGCTATGGCTATGATGCGCAATCCGAGGTGCACAGCTTGACTAGCAGTGGTCCTAAAGCTCAGCCTTTCATTAACTTGCTCAGAAGCCTACTACATGCGCTACCATCTGTTGTACCCGTGAAAAGGGTGGAGATGTTTCTCCCAAGAATGGTTGATCATGGACGGGGTGTGAAAAGATGAGGATGGACTGCAAAACCACACACAAGTGATTTTCTCTTCCCGGCTCTTCGCTGGTTCCTAGCTCTCCATCGCAAAGCTGCAGGCGACGTGGCATCATCAGGCCTCATGTGGGGGAGCTTTTGTCCGGTGTCGATGCCGCCGCCGTGTTGTCAAATTCTGATGTGCCATCTAAGAAAGCTCTGGACATGATGCTTCAAACACGATACCCCACAGCCTGAACCTGATCCGTTTGTGCGTAGAATGCAGCTCTTGTCTACGGAGCCAGCATTTCAGAATGGTCGTTTAGAGGCAGATACCACAAGAAAATGACAAGCTACTGCTATAGACTGCACACCTCCAATGCTCTCTTCCGAAGTTCTGTTGTGACCCTACCAGCCCCGTAAGCCCTCAGGGCCCGGGCACCATGCGACCATCAGGCCAGGCGCATGTAGAAGATGCGAAGCATGAGAGACTGTGACAGTGAGTGGGGTAAATGCGAGTTCAATCCGGGACAAGTTAACAAGCACCGACACAGAGGTTGTAGACAGAGCCTTCTGCCCTGAGCAAGATCCCAGGTCCGGTGGCACCGCCCATGGGAATGCCTCCGCATGGCACTTCGACCAGCAGCCCTTCAAAGGTTTTGAGTACTTCAACGTCTACGATGGTTCTGCTGTGCATGAGTTGCATGTCGTCCGATCACGAGCTTGGCGGCTTTTCATTACGGAACTCAGGAGCAGTACCCCACGTCGTGCCTCCAGTGCAGTCTCCAATGGCGCGCATACCAGGCAAGTCTGAGCTTCATGCAACTCCTTCTGACCCGGGTCAGAAGTTTTCATGAAATCTAGTTGTAATATGGCAATGTGAATTTGCCCTTTGGCCTTGTCTAGCACCATGAATCCACCCTTTGCAGTGAACTGCCACTTGTTCTCTTGGGCACGGTGCTTACAAGCCTGCTCAGACAACACGCTAGTAGGAGCGGAGTGCCCTTAAGGTGCACCAAGAAACGTCGTTGGCATTCACACGAAAAGCTGCACTCTAGCGATCCTCAGAAAGCAAGATGGGATGCTGGAGGTTTTGGAAGCTTGGGGGCAGGTGGTTGGCTGCTTGAAAATGCGAAAATTAGGTCTGAAATTTTGCAAAAAGTGGCGGACAATTGATGGTATGCTTGTTGAGAAAATAATTTGGTGATGCGGGGTGTGTGGGGGATGAAGTGGTATGCTGTTGGAGAAAGCGGTTGGGAAACATGAGTGGAAAGTGGGGTTGTGGTGTGTGGGGGGGGTCTATGTGCGGTGCCATACGCCTAAATAGGCAAGGTATCATCTAACTTCTTTCGACAGGGATCAGGCCCTCACCACTTGTTCGTTATCGCCGTGTTTGAAATTCCCGCGACAGCGCTTGGTGATCATGAAGTCGGGCCTACCTCACAGGCGGTCACAGGCCCCGAAATAAGAGCTGGATATCCATGAGAGGTGCAGCCGCGATACCCCCGCAGCCGGGAGTCACTCAGAGCTGCAATAGAATGAGCCCATGATCCCCTGCTTCGGTTCTCTTGGCCGGGGCAGGTTTGATATACAAGGGTGGCGCAAGTTCCGTTAGTGTTCCATCACTTGAGAATCACTCTTGAATGGCTTCTCATGTCGCAGACTTCGGCGCATTCCTGCAAGGCATATCCGATGTCTCCATCAGCCCCAAGCACTTGGAAGCCACTCGGTTTATCTCGGTAGTTGGGTGATGTGAGGACGATTGAAGGAACGTGTCTGTTCTGGAGGCTGGTCAGCAGGTGGTTGGAGCTTGCCCTGTGCCAGGGCAGACCCTTTTGACGTGCTGGGCGATGCAACCTGGTTTCCACAACCAAGCCTGCGTCGATCTGTGCCACCTGGAGCAGGCCCTTGCCAAATTTGCCGAAGAGAATGCGACAGATTTACGTCCCTTCGAACACAGAGTTTGCACAACCTACACTGCACCCACCTCTTCAACAGGTCTAGAATTGTGGAAAGGAAACGAAGCACTTTCCTTGACCCTCCGCGGTCTGGTCATCGAGTGCTTATTCGAGCCCAAGTATGCTTTTTGAATGTGTCGCAGCTAACAGGCTCACTTAAAAACATCAGCTAACCCCCTCCCCCTGCCCCCCCCCCCCGCTCAATTTTTGCACAGGTCTGCCGGGGAACACTCTGGTTGAGGCGTGAGTCAAGCAACTGGTGCAAGTGGCGTGGAGTCTGTTGGGCACTTGAGCACCCCCGCGCTTGGTGTCTGCTTTGGAGCCTTGATGCATTGATGCAAGCCGAATATCCTCATGCTGTAGTGTGGGATTGTTTGCAGAAATTGGGAAGGCCAGCGAAAATGGAGACGAAGCAGATGAGATGGTGTTTCTCCGCAGGCGGTGGGCGGAGGGCTGATTTGCTGAGGTTTCAGGCTCGAAGGCATGCTTGTGGCAGCTGGTGAGGTTACGTTAAGGCCAGAAAGCTGGAAAACATTGGAAAACTGCAGCAACTATGGAGTTGTTGCCAGGCCTCTGTATCAGGAGTCAGTACAAGGCTTCGTAAGGCTTCGCAGGTACCTGAAGGTCATGGTGGTTGCACAAGAATGAACGGTTGTAAAGAGTTGTGCTATGCCGATGCAAATAGAAGCAGCCACACAGCTGCATCCGTTTACTGGTTGCCAGTGTGCTCACATCCGCCAGGGCAGCAGCCCTCCTGGGTTGCGAGGTACCAGAGGCTGCGCGCCAGGCGGTCAGGGATGTGCATCCCAAACTGCTATGCCAATCTGTCTCACAAACCCAGGACCCGCAGAAGGCCGCCTTTGCCGAGGCCCTGTTTGATCTGTTTGGGTAGATTTTAACGCTATGCGACCCGCCTCGGCCTGGCCCAGCGCAGCGCCCGGCGCATGCTCGCGGCATCCGCAACTGCACAGGGTCACATAGGCGTCCAGGGCAGCTGTAGAGGGGGGGTGGGGGGGGGTACTGCCTCTGGTCCTGGCGAACCGTCCGCTTGCGGACCCCGGATTCCTAGGGGGGGGTACCCATTTGAGGCAAAAAAAGGTGTCCGAAAAAGGGCTTTGGGGGGAGAAGAGGGAGGGGGGTGCCTGTTCTCACAACCTATACACCTTCGGCCCGAGGCCTCGGCGGATTGATCATTCCTTTCCTTGTGGTGATGGTGCTTTCTTCTTCTTCTCTTGCGCCTGTAGGCCACGCGCCTCCTTATGGCGGTGGTGGGCTTCATCTGCGAAGGCCATTGCTAAAGCAAACAAGCTGTCCATTCTGCATGTCTCTGCATATAAACTCAAATACGTTTCATGCGAACCATAAGTGTCAGCATGTGTTCTTGCACTGAATGAGGATGTGAACCACGGGCGCTTGAATACAACAGTGTCTCCTGTTTAGTGCGCCCAGTCAGATCTCGTGGGATCCTTTGAAGAATCTGTCGAAACAAAGGCAGTCGAGTGTGTTTGCGCTGTGAATCGCTGTGATGACCGCAGCCAGCTCAATTTTTCTGAAGGGTCCCCTTGTTGAAGTAGAGCCGATGCTGAAGTCTCTGACATCCTTATCGCATATTATTTCGAGCAAGCATAGATCAGTTTAGTGGCATTTCTGTCGGGGGGGGGGGGGGGTTTCTCGTCAAAGCAAAGTTGAAACGGCAAAGACTTTGAACGCAGCGTCGCGCCTGGAAGGCAACTGCCCACCGATGCTGAGGGGAAATGCTGGGAGCCTACCTTGTTCTATTGAAAATTTATTTCAAGGACAGCCTGTGGCAACAGCTGTTGTGCAGTAGCCGGCTGGAACAACGATGCCGCGATATGCTCCCTCGTCCCAAACTGTGTGGGATGCCTTCCCTGGTCACGGTAGCCATCAGAATCATGCCGCATCGCAGCGTGTCGTATCACGTATCACCGTCCCGCCCTGCACCCCGCCTCTTTCGCTTTTTTCAGAGATGGTTAGCAGCATGCCCATGACTTCAGGTGGTGACTCGTGGCCCATACCTTCCTGCCTGGTCGGGCATTGTGCCGCACGTTATGCTCAGAGCCCCTTGTTCTGGGAAGAGCGTGCAGAGAAGGGTCCATAGCTACCACCCAGTGTATGACTTGGAGTGCTCAAGCCGAAACTCATCTCCTGCAACCCGCTTCATGCTGCCTCGTAGATCCCACCAGATTCACGGCTCCACAGCTAGTGAACCCAGGACTGGTTCGACACCAATGACGCCTCTTCAGTGGTGAACTTTTTCGGGTGCCAAACGCGGAGCTTTCTGCTGTGGACTTGTAGAGAACCACCCTTTGAGCCTTGAACATGCCCTTTGAAGCCCCCAAATTCCCTGTCCGACATTTGTGAGCCTTCACTCTCATGGAGGTCTCAGTGGCTTCGCAAAGCTTTCGAAGCAGCAGATCGACCGAAGAGAGGGCTTCCCAGTCGCAGTCTAATCTGGCGATCCGGGGAGAGCCGTTCTCCAGGTGATTGCTCATATCCAGCAAATGGGCAATGTTGTTGAGCATGCTCAAGTCGCACCACACGGTCGGACACATCGCTGCGGTATTTGTTTCGAATCAACCTAAACACCCACGTGCTGGCCGATGCATCTCTCCTATCTGGCAGATACACGCAACGTGTCCCCAAAAAACGGAAAGCCTCAGTTGTACCTGTGCCCCTATGCCCCCTATGCCCTACAGAAGGCAGTTTGTGACACTTCTCTCGCGCGCGGCCTACGCCGAAGTACTGCGGCCAGGAGTAAGGGCTCGGGCCTTACAATGGGCGTTTGAAGCTTGCTTTTGGGGCGGTGTCTTGGGAATTGAGGTAGTTGATCAAATGAACATGTTCATGAGGGGAAGGGTCCATCCAAGCATCTTTGCGACTAGCGAACATCCACGCTGTTTCTACTGTAGCCCCGCTGCTCTTGTAGCCTCGCTGCTCTCGTGGCATACGTCGGTACTGACAATGAACCAGGAGTTGCTTTGCAAAATGTGCGAAAATGCTGCACTGCTGCACTTGGACCTGGACCTGGTGTGGACTCTGAGGCCCTCCGAGCTCCGTGGCAAAGAGTCTTTGCCCCCTGGCCAAGTCGTGGCCATGCCGATTCAGCAGTAGCCATGCAATTTACCTTTTTCGCAATCCTTTCTAACGCCCCTTGGTGAGAAATGCCTGGACCAATTTTGGCAGGTGGCAAGACCGGGTCCGGGGTGGATGTTGACCACACGCGAAGCATGGGTAAAGCCGTGTAAAGCCTGACGCCCAACAGAAACAACTGAGGACTCGACTGCTCTAGGAATTGAAAGCAGGCTGATAGGCTTCGGGTGGTGCTCATGCTTTCAACATCAGACGTCTTGAGAGAATGGTGCAGCACACTTTCGGATATGTATTCCGCCCACCTGAAGCGGCTGTGCCTGCGGCGTGCAAGATGGCCGATACAAAGGCAAAGATACAAGATGGCGCACAGGCCTTGCCCTCTGCTAGCTCTGCTATAGCTGCTAGACTGCTAGACCCAACATCATCAAATATCCAGTCCGGCCTTCCAAACACCTTTCACATGCCTCTCGACGCGTTTTCCTAATCAACAGCCCCTCCCCCCCCTCCACCCCCTCCGTCTTTCAGCTGAGGAAAATTTCCCCGAGTTGGGGATCTTTCGGGCACTTCTCACTCACGTCAGGAGGCCATGCGGTTGTTGATGCGTGCACGCTTCAACGATTCAATGCCGAGATTTATCAACTCATTTCCTTGACCATTGATGACTCCGAGATGTCTTGAACGAAGGGCCATGGATTCATGGGGGTGGGTTGTCGCCAGATTGCTTTGCTTCGACAATCCGTGCTGGACATGGGCTAAAGCAAGGGCAGTATGCCAGCAACCAGCTGCTACTATAGACTATGTATAGACTAGAGGCCCTTCTGCAACATGCTGGTAACACCACTGTCGCGATGCCTTTCAAACATTACGTGGGGAACCTTTTGCTAAGCTGCCAGACGTTTGTGGGAAGATGCACGAGATCGAAGTCGCAGCAGGCCACTGCATGTATTTCAGTTCCAGTTGCGCTCAAATCTTAGGACTGGATGCAGGTGTTCTTCGGCCCATGACATCTCTGAAGTCACCCACCGTGAGCCAGATTGTCGCATATACTATGCTGATGACTGTGAGTAGGAGCCGGGAGCGGAAACCGAAGGTGGAGCCCAAGAGTGAAAAGAAGCAGGAGACGGCCTCATGGAGCTTCTGATGTACGGTTTTGATGGTTTGAGTCGATGAGTTCGCACAGATTCGCACACCTTTTTTTGTTTTTGTGACCGTGTCGCTGTGTCAACCATCCCCCCATGGTATCGCTCGCCACCCAACCCCGCCCAGCCCCCGCCCCCCCCCTCCCGTAAACCACAGCCCTCACGCAAAGCCTTCTACACCCCAAACCACAAAAAACCCAAGCCCTAAACCTAGAAACCCTAAGCCCCAAAATCTGCAAAACCTACAAAAACCGCAAACAAAACCCACAAAAGCTTGAACACCTAAACCCTGAAACTCTAAACCGAAAACCATAAACCCCCAAAACCCAAAAGCCCACATGCTAAACCAGTGGGGGGAGGGGAGATACCTTGGGGGGGCGGGTGGGGGGTGGGGGAGGGCACTGCGCAACGCTGCACCACAACATGTGTGTGCATGCGCGTGCGTGTGCGTGTCTCTCCTTTCCTCACTATGACGATGACAAAAAAAAGTATATATATATACATATATATATATAGTGCTCGGCCAAGTCCTGTCTCCATTTGTTGTTGAGCGCCTTGCAGGAGGGTGTTCGGTTCATCGTCAAAAATGCTGGGAACCTCCCCGCATCGGAGCTGGAAGAGCCCCTGGGATCTGTTGGATATCCAAATTTGACATTGATGTTGCCAGCGCGAGGGTCGTGAACCAAGGCATTTCCAGTCCTTTGGCAATGTGCTCTCGTGCAATGTGCTCATCGATAAGCGGACAAAGAAATCCCGGGGTGTTGCATTCGTCGCAATGCGGCCGGAACCTGAGAGTTGGTGAAGTTCTTAGTTGAACTTGGTAGCATACGCTGCGCAGATAAATTGGCTCAGAAACATCATGCTTAGCGATTTCGTCGTTGTTTGTCATCCAAGGCCTGAAGGCTACTATGAGGGTCGGCCAGTCACCGTTCTTTGCTTAGTTTCAGAAGCATGGGTGCGACCACCCATGTTAAGAACGTCACAAGTGCCCACTAGAAGCTGAGCGCTTGCCGTTTGGATGTTGTTTCCACATGGGAGTTCTGGAGTTCTGGACGTCAAGGTGCAGAGCCTTGCATGATTGTCAGCGAGCCCAAATTTCCACACCAGAACTGGGTGCCCTGCAAAAGCTTGAATCTAGAGAGCCTACGGCTGGGGGACCTTTGGCCAAGCCCTATGCACTCTGATCAACTCCACGCGCCCTCCCCCCAACCTGAGGAAGAGGGCATGAAGGTCCGGACCTGAGTTATCGCCCTCACCCTCTGAACTCAGCACTGGAGGGCCATGCATCCTATGCATCATGAGTTTCTTGGACAGTGCTTTCTGCACCAAGTAAGGGCACAGCAGTTCCAAACGCCCAAAAGGCAGGGTGACACGAAACTGCATTGGGCTGACTTGGCCTGGAGTATGTCATGTTTGGCTCTGGGTTATCCAAGTGTCTCGCCCTTCCTAGTGCAGCTTTGTGATCATGAAAACTTCAAGTGAGCTGCGTTGATTTTTCGGCGCTCGAGTAACGTTACTTGAAAGCGGACATTCTTGTTTCCGCCGAAGGGCCGAAGAGGTAAACAAGATTGCGCGGAAGGGTCTGCGCGGAAGGCGTGGCGTTCGCGGAAGGTTTGTCTGTCAGCAGGTTAGAAACTTGGGTAATAGCTACTTCGGGATTGTATTGCTGACGCCGAACATGCCGGCAGCCATAAGAATCGCGCCCCATCGTTTAGCCGTCTTGGATCCGTTTCGGAGAGCAGAACTCTGCGGAAGGGTCGCGGAAGCTCGGAAGGCAACGAGCCCAGAGCCCATGCCTTGCCTTATGCTTCCCAACCCCGTCGTTAAACCCTGCCAAGTAAAGTGGTGGGACCCTAAGCCCTCCATACCCTTAACCCTTGACCCTTACCCTCGAGACCCTGACCCTCAACCCTGAAACCTAGGGGGTACCTGGACATCATATATACTCAGGTTACTGACTTCTGTTTCTGGTGAGAAGGTGGAGTCGCGAATTTCCGCGGAAGGCTCGCGGAAGGAATGCGAAATACGCCGTGGAGGGGTTTAGAATGACCATCGGGCTCATGCTGCTGAGAAAAAAGCCACTCGAGTTTTGCCAGTTGAGACTCGCCAGTCAAGGATTGGGTGCTGCATGAGACCCACATTGTGGGACACATGAAGCTGGAGGTCACGCTGGCCGAAGTAAAGCAGGAGAAGGCCACGAAAGGGAAACGAATTTAAAGCGACACTCGCGTCCACATGCTTAGCCTGCATAAAGATGTCCGGCATAGAGTCATAGAGATGCCGAGCGAATGTCTAATGCAACTAGCCCAGGGCAGCCGTTTGGCATGCTGGTAAGAAGTCATTCAACCAGCAAAGCGTTAGTGGCACAACGATCTGGCTCCTGGTCAGGAGGAGGATGAAGATCGCAAAAGAGAGGAGCGCGTGGAAGAAAGGACAGCCCAAGTCGCGTTCTCCGAATGACAACTTGCATCTTGCCTTCAGTATTGATGTTACACACGACTGTGCCGCTGTCTCTTGGTGTGTGTGTGTGTGGATGTTGCTTGCTATTTGTGTTCTTCGCATCTTGCGCATTGCTATAATCATCTCTTTCCGACTGCATGCGAAACGGTGCAAACTTGCATCGCCACAGCAAGTTTCAAGTTGTGGGCTCCTTCAGCTTTAGCCTAAGAAGGTACTGCAATTACATAAACCATGAGAAGCTTGTCAGCACCATCGGTTGGCCCATAAATCTTATTTCCTGCAGGATAGTTATAGGGGTTCCAGCTTGACTAAAAACTCGGCCATGTGAAAACGCGCGCTCATCTTCCAGGAGGCGCTCTCGCGTAGAGAAGGAGCAACGCATGAGCCGTACCCTCGGAGGCTCGCAGGAGCTGTTGGCTTGGGGGTTGAGTTTTTTTGGAACTCCGAATCCATCGGCCAGGGCAAGGCTGTCAGCTCCATTCGATAGTTCGGCATCCGGCCCAATTGCAATGCGGGGGGTAGCGTGCGCCTCGCAGACAAAGGTTAAAGCAAAGTCATATGTAGCTTGGTGCAGCGCCGCACACGTCAGGCTTTAAGTGGGGTCGAGTTCAGGGTCGCAAGCCATGTTTAGGGGTCCCAAACGGGGGGCCGTTCTTGGTCTTTGGTCTTTGTGCTGAGCCTCAAGCAGCAGGTTCCCCAGAGGGCGTTCTTAGGAGTCTCCTCCGCCTTTGGGCAGGTTTCACAGGGAGGCGGGGGAGTGGCTTTCCGGATGCCTTTTGGCCGGGGCCCTGACCTCTCTATCGCCTCAGCCTTGTGACCCGCGAGGCGTGGCCACGCTGTCGGAGCGCGGGGAGGAAAGGCTGGCATTTCGTCTGCATGTGACAGACGTGTTATCACAACTGCCAGCGAGTCAGCATCCTTCATGAAGTCGGGGGAAGATCCACTGCTCCTGGTGTAGATTTGCCAGTCGCTTTCATCGGCCGTGAAGCGCGCCGAATACCATGTTCACTATCCGTCACTACGCTTTTGCTGCAGTATGCGGCAGTACTATCCGCCGGTCTGTTGGTTGCTTGGAAAGCTAGGTATAGCCAGTCTGCACATATCTGCGCATGCAGATGCTCGCAAGTCTGCAAACTTGACAGAAGCCACACACCGCCTGCTTTCTGCCTAGGTTCCTTCACATTGGCACAAACGATGGCGGAATCAGCTCTTCGAGCTTCTTGACTGAAGGGCTGAACGTGCAGTTTAAAACTCTTCTTTTCCTAGCCTTTGCCCTGTCATTTGCACTCCAAGGTTCCTTCCGCGGGGGCCCTCGGGCCCCACCACATGGGCCGACCCGCGCGTGGCAGCGCTGTGTGCGGCAATTTGGACCGAGGCACGGTGGCCATCTGTGTCTCACAAACGCTTTGTGGCACATCCTGAGAGTGATTGAATGGAGTCAGAGGTTGCCGAACATGCGTCGAGAACCGGTGATCGGACGGCTGCTGGGCTTCTCTTTCTCCAATCCTTGAGGGTTTCTTCAGGATTTCTGTTCCGATGGGGCAAGGGGATAGCCGGCGGGTTGCTGGCAGCTTCCTTGTGAACATACTGTGCCAGCCCAGGTCCAAGAGGCTTTGAGCCTTTTCCAGGACGGCCTGCGACCTTCCAAGTAAGCTAAGTCTACTATAGTTACTATGTGATTTGCAGAACCCCCTTACATGACCATGTGGGTTTGTGGGGTTTAAGATGGGCTCGGCCCAAGGGCCTTAAAGACTTCGAGGTTTTTGAAACTTATACGAGGCACCCCTGGGCTCCTGGGGCTAGGGGGGGGTGTTCTTAGGCCTTCATTGTGCAAGCTGCTTTGCCCGGACAGGAGCCAGCAAGCGAGACCCCTCGACACTGGGCTCTTGCAGGGCTTGCGCAGGGTGGTGATCGGATGGTTCTGGATGTAGACATTATTATGTAGGAATGTTTATGAGGCTCTGGTCCTGATAGCCATGTTTCAAGCCCTGTCTAGCTCCAGCCATCGAGCAGAGCTTGACAGCTAGGCCGCTAGGCTCCAGACAACGCCGTTGCCTGAAGTTCGCCCCTCCTCGAACATGGGCTCTTCAGGGCTCAGCATTCCAAGCTCCAAAGCCTGAGAGAGCATCAAGGATGGTGCTTCATCCCTGCAGCAGAGCTGCTGCTAATCATCGGTGAAGGCACAGACGCACAGCCCTGTTCACAATGGACACAAGGTTCCTGCCAGCATGGATGCAGCAACAATCATCTCAAACCACACCACTTGAGAGTTTTTTGCCGCCACAAGTGGTCCATACATTAAAACAATTGCGGCAACAGCCTTCTAGGAGCCAGTGTACACGCAATCGTGCCTGCCGGAAATCTTACACTGCGAGGCATCGTTGGCATATCCGCCTTGGGCGTCTTCGTGTGGCCCCAGTGGCAGGAAAGCCTTGAAGTGCACCGACGCGCATAGCATGCCCTGACGGATAAATCCTGTTGGGCAGGATGCTGTTCCGCCACGGTCGGGGCAGGAAATCATTGCGCCAGAGCCCTAGTTTGTGTGCAGAACAGCATCGGAGGGTGAGACGCCTGAAAGCTTGAATGTAATGTTTGCGGATAGTCGGACAGCGTTCGCTTGCATTCGCTTGCTCACCAACTCTCACACACGCACACCTGAAGAGCAGCCCGGCTGAAGTTGCTCGCAATGATTCTGAAACGCGGGACCCTATATACAGGCTCTAATTGCTGAGTTTACTGACCTGAGTCTACTGACCTGACCTAAGGCTGTCCATCCCCTGCTTTGCACAGCCCTTCGTGGCCGCGCCGGCCGCTGCTGTGATGCAGCCAGCGCCCGGCACCGTGGCAGACCCTTTCGGCCAGCTCCAATGGTCGTTTTGGTCTATATTGTCTAGGGCTTACGAAGGAGAAGAGGTTTCGGGTGGTATGTGACTTTCCTATATAACACAGCAACCGATGATGCGGCCCCTCGGTAAACGCAGTTGCCAGTATCTTGCGACTTCTTCCAGTTGAGGGCCTGTATGGAAGACGTTGCACAAAAAGAATCCTGGGGGTGGGGGGGAAATTTGTGCTCTTTTCCATGTGCGCGTCCGCGGCTCAGCTGCACACATCTCCCAGGCATGCCGAAAGGTTCTTCGGAAGCTTGCCTGCTATTGACGGCAATGACATCACACGTGTCATCGTGTCACTTGTGCCACAGGCTGTAACTGTACTTGTTCTACCGGGACTCTGCCGGTGCGCTTTGTTCCCTGGATCCCGAGTGGCATGTCTGACTTGAGCAGCTAGCAGCTATCTGCACAAGCATCAGCAACATAATCAGTAAGCTAGTCGCCAGATCCAGGTCTGCTCCAGAAGCCTAAGAACTCCACAACCACAACCGTGCAAAGGATCGCGAGAAGATCTTTGTTGGGGGCCTGCCTCACCACTGCACACTGGATATGCTCACTGCCCACTTCAGCATCCTGGCAAACGTGCACCCTGAAACGTTCTACCTGAATGGAGCTGAGGGCAACACGTGTGGGCCGCAGGTTTCTGTAGGAGACTGCAATTTGCTGTAGGAGACTACAATTGAGGCGAAGCAAAATCTAGTCACGGGTGAATAGACTTCTGCCTCTATTCCAGGCAAGTATGGCCGGATCACGGATGCTGTGGCTTGCGGCTCAGAGTTGCGGGTTGCAGCAAGCACAAAGGGGGCAAACCGATTCACATCTTTGTGTCTTGCATTGCCTGTCTTCGTACGTGCGACCTGTGTTCTCATCATGGTCTGTCTTCGAACACGCCGATCGGCTCACATTATTGCTGTGACCCAGATCAGTTCATGCTGCTCATGGTGGGTCATACAAGTCTTTGGCCTTTGGCGCTTACTATTGCTGGTCGTGTATGCTTTCAGCATTGCAGGGTGTCGGGAAGGAACAGCGATCCCTCGTGCCCGAGGTCATGGCTGACAAGGCCACGGGCAAGCCCCGAGGCTTTGGCTTCGTTGTCTTCGAGCATATCTCCTGCGTGGAGGCGGGCACGTTGTAATCTGTGTAATCTGTGGTATCCAGGGGCATGGAGTTGCAGTCAGCTCGTGTCAGGCGGCAATCCGTGACTACGGCAAGCATGCCGGGGTCCTGGTCATAGTGCAACGCAGATCTAACCGAATTTTTCACCTGTCCGAATCGAACACATGAGTAGTCTACCGTGGCTAGTCCTTCCACGTCAATGAACACAGATCTCGCTTTGCTTTTCCGCTAGGCCATCGATGGCAAGTGGGTGGATGTGAAGCGAGCCACACCGCAGGAGAGTCAGAGATGTGGATCATGGTTCAGGGCTTGCACTACAAGCCAACAAAATGCACCCAAGAATCCACCCTCCTATGCCCTACGTCCTACGTCCTACGTATGAAGCTCAACTAGATTTCAAAGATCTGGGCGAAGTTTACGTCCGAACAGACCATCTGAAATAAGAAGGGCCAGTCGGCACTTACACAGACTCAGCTGCCCGTGTGCTGTTCTGTGCCTTGGCAGGATCAGGCTTCACCTCCACCACAGGCCGACTCAGCAGAGGGACGCAGACCCGTGCGTTCGGAAGATCTTCGGGTCGAGATCAGACGATGATCACGCATGACGCTCATGAGTGTCCACTAAAATAGGTAGTCCCAAACTCGATGAAGTCAAACTGCGAGGTGTTCGCACCAGCACCGATGTCTGCCGGCCCTGGATGCCCCGACCGGGGCGCCTCACCGACCCCAGGCCTGTTGAGGGCCGCAAAAGGGGGCAAAGGGGAGATGGCTCCCGCTGGGTTTTAAGAATCTTGGGATGTTTCAGGGTGCTTTCGGGAAGAGGACGTTTCCGCACGGTTGCTTCTGTGCATTGTGGGTCGAGTGCTTACAACGGGCTATATAAGTTCCTTAGGTCCTTAGGTGTTACAGGCCGTCAGACTCCGACTGACTGGTTCAGAAGTACCGGGATGTTGCAGCAGTAACTGCAGATTGGTCTTCGAATCGAAATCAGAGACAGGGGGAGGGGGTTTGTGGGGGTTGTGGGGGTTGTGGGGGGGGGGGGGGGGGGGGGGTGTGTTTCAGCATGTGGCCCCAAATCTTGGGCAGAGAAATGGCCCCCGCAACCTCTCTCTCGCCGCGTGCGATGAAAACATGTTGTAGTTCATCCATTGAACGATGCACTCGTCAGATGTCTCCCCGGTGAAGCCGGCCATGATGCCCTTCAACGAGGCCGAGCGGGTTGCTTTCACGGGTCTCAGTCGAAGTGACCGACGGGGCAGACAGCCAGAAAGCACGAGCAGAGAGGATCCCGGCACATTCCGGCGCCTTGTTCCCAGTTTTTTGCCAGGTGCCCCCACCACGCTTCGATGACGCAGGCGTCCACACATCGTCGGAATGCAGTCATGAGGTATTTCATTGACTTGGGTGGGGCCTATGGTTCTCGGCTGCTTTCGATGCGGATGTACATTCGCGGCTGATGTGAGGAGCTTTGTGCTTAGGAGATGTGCCACGAGATCAGGAAATCTATCCCGAATCATTCTTGAGAAAAGCTCAGAGAAACAACGCCCAACAATCCAAAGATACCAGTAAAGACGCAAAGTCTGGGGCCCACATAGCAATAACAAACATAGCCTCAGCAGTCGGCCCTGGCAGGACCCAGTGCTGTCCATCAGGAGAGCTGCGCGACTGCACAAACGATATCCAAGTCGGGGCTTCAAGCTTAAATCTAAGCTGCGCAGGCAGACTGTATGAACTGATTAGGGTCTGCCATCTGCTTCGGATGATTAAGGATGGCTGGCCTAAAGCTTGTCCATAGCTTTCTTATTTTTCTGCAAAGAAGACAGTCTCTCCGAAATTTTGCAAGCATTGATCATACAAGAACATTTAACTCCCCACACATACAGTGCCCGGAGATAACACTGAGGCCTCAGGGCGTGCAGGCATGAATCTTGTTGAGGTTGCAGGGGCCGGGTCACCTTAGCCCGACCCCACTGAGAGAAAGCCACTTGCTGCTGGCTGCTCACGAAGCAGGGGATGGGTTTTCAACTCAGCCCACAACCTGGTAAGTTATCGGGTTAGTCCATCACGTCATACAGGGACCTTGTACGAGGGTAGCAAGGGTGGTTGGACGTGGAGGTAGACCTCTGACTGTGACCAAACATCTTGCTGGTCGTGACATGTTGCTTTTTCGACTCGAAGGTTGAAAGATGTTGCCAGGTTTAGAGAATTGTTACCAACAGAAAAGCTGCTGGGACAAGAATCTTACAGCTGAAACTAGCCGCAATAGCTGTTCGTAGCTAGCGGACTCTTTACGGTGGATTCCCTCACGGCAACCTACTCGCTTAAGCAGAACTTATAATTAGGCAGATGCCTGCGCTCAGGTTACGATCCGTTCGGCTAAGGGGTGAGATGCCTTGCAGGGCCTGGCGACAGCTCTGAGTGGTTTCAAAAGTTAAATGCATCCCAAGAGCGACGGAACCTGTGAATTTCATTGAACCTGCTCATGCTCAAAATTTCGAAGCATGGGTCCCAAGCCTACAGATGCCACTGCAAGAGAGACTGTCTGGCACAAGCAAAATGGTCCCACTTCGCCTCTCAGTAGCAGCCAGGCCACAGCATGCAGAACAACAAGATACAACAAATTGTCTTACCCCCCATGCTGTTCAGAGGGAGCGCGCGATCCTGCCCTAACAGCTCGCTGGAGACTGTGCCGAGTGCAGAGGTGGCAAAAAAGCCGGGGGGATTCTGTGAATCCATTGTCTGCACCTTTCTCATCCCGAGAGCTTTAATAATTCTGCTGTTTTTCGGGGCTCCACCATATTCGTCATGCCAGTGCGGGCAGGGCAGCTCTCATGATTACTGTAGCAGGTCCGAATGCGGAATGCGCTGTGGCTTGCTATTTGTTATTTGAGATGCAGTCAAGATCATAGTCAGTATAGGCAGTAGTTGTGGCGCCATGATCCCCAAGATCGATAGGGAGCCTGCTAAAACGACAGGGCTGCTTGATGAAAAGTTGTCGAGGCGATGAAGCCACAGCTAGAGGATTCTGTGATGCTAGAATGCGGCGAAACATTGCTCTTTGAGCCTTATGTGCTGCTCACGAGCTAGATTTTGGTCCAGGCGAGTGCTGCGTAAGAGACGCCTTGTTTCTCCTAATTAAGCAAGGAGTTTGACACCAACTACTTTTGACAAGGCGCGTCTTCCCACAGATTGGATACAAGTGCAGTAGCATCGGAAGGGGATCCAGAAAACCATGCAGCCTAAGTACTTCGTCTGCCACATCGAATTTGGCACGGCCTTCTCTGTTTCTGTGCAAGCCAGGTACACGATCTCCTGTGACGTATGGGCTTGCGGCGTGATATTGTGCGCTCGAGTCAGGTTCTGGCAGGGCTAGTGTGGGTTGGTTGCCCTGTGGACGCATGGGTAACCAGAAAGGGACCATGGTGCACCGCAAAGAACTGAACGCATTGGACGGTTGCTTGTGAGACCTTTGGATGGTTTTTTGGAGGCAAGTGCGCACCAGTCACACTTCTGACTGGCTTTACGGGTTGAGTCGCCAAGCTGTAGCCCAGCTCTCAGGTACCACGTGATGAGCGGAGGGCTTCCCTTCTCCAGCGAGGAGGAGGTGTGGGGCAGCAACAGTAGCATGTACGGTATGCACGAGTTGCATAGATGTGGATGTTGCTTTGACACTGGGACTGCTGGAGCTGCTCGAGATGCCGCTTTGCGGACATTGCCTGATCTGCTTGTGTTTTCTTGGTCATATGGCTTGTGCGCAGGTCAATATTTGTCAAGGAGCTTCAGCTTCACTGCCTTGCTCAAATGATGGTTTCTTGCTGTTGCATTCGTCTTCTCATGTCTTCTCCGTCTTCTTGCTGAAGAACGAAAATGCGGCAGCTGCTGCCAGCTGCCACTGCTAAGAACTTCCCTCCTCTATGGGGCGCTATAGCGGCCGCGTGTAGAGAACAGATTAATGTAAACCTTCTTACAGTCTTACGACCCCCTACGCCAACTTTCACCAAGCTCTACCCGCCCATCACTCTCTGCAGATCAAGCTGGGGCGAATACCCCTTGGCAAAACATGGTGCGATGCATCGCAGGACGCTGGATGCTAGGATGAAGGGGTGCGGCTTTGTGCTGTGAGTCTGCGAGGGTAGTATGTGGGCAACTAAGGCTGGTTGGAGGCTAGCTCCTCATTTGTACTTAGACTGCGTAGACCTCACTAGAAGGCCCTGTGTCAGCGGCAAGGGTATCTTCATTCGGTCTTCTAAGTGCTGCTGGCCCAATCCTTGATTCGACGTCACGGGATGCCCATCACATAAAGCTTTTTTCATGTCTGCATGGTTTTGCCAAGGGGAAGGCAGGACAGGAATGAAAGAAGAGAGCCAAGCCATGCCCCTGTCGAACGCGGGAAGCAGCCCAGTCAAAGCTTAACCATCCAGGCCTTCGATGTAAACATGCCCCTTCGCTTCAACAACACGACCTTGGAATGCGGTGCCAGGTCAAAACTCCTGGGAAGCCCCCCCCCCCTCCCTTCCTCCCGCACAACGAAGGCAAAGCCGAGCCATGTCATTCGTGGGCAAAGTGCAATGGCACGCAGTAGCTGAAAGTCTTTGGCACGGAATACCTCGGAAAGATGCATTTTTACACGGGTTGGAGCTACCGAATGCCTCAGAATGCTATCATTTGCAGAGTTTGGGATTGGGAGCTACCACACACCTGAGAACACCGTAGATACGTAGAGTTTGGACCCGCCGAATAGCTCAGAAGGCTGTAACTATAGTGGCATAAAGCGGGGTGTCGCGGGCGCATCGCAGATGAAGGTAAAGCAAAGTCCTATGTCACAGTGTGCACCACACCAGTCATGAGTTCAGGCAGGAGGGCTTGCTGGGGGTTTGAAGGGCGGGTCCCAGGTCTCAGGAGGGGCGGCGGGAACACCGCTACACCTCTCTGTTCAGCATGGAACTGTTGATGTTTGTTGGAGACAGATAATGGTGATTTTCAGGAACGGATTAAAAGTTGTTTTTGATGTTGATTTTTGTTCGTTTCCTCTCCCATGACACAGGTTGGCCTTCAATTGCTGCACGTCCTGATCTACACTCTAGAATAAACGGGGGGTGGGGGGGTTCGTGACGCAGTCTTCTGGGGGCTCCTATAAAGTGGATCGAACTCCAAACCCCAAGGCCCTAGGCCCTAAACCCTCAGCCTTTTCTAGGGGTATATTTGCGGGTCCCCCCTCCCGACCTTTTTTGGGTGAAATGCCTCCCAATTGCCCCAAACTGCACGGAGGAGGCCGTGGCCCTGATCAGAAAGCTGATGTCCAAAGCTTCCCACCGCCCCTCTGCGAAGCAGGCATTGCAGGTGTGGACCCCCTCGGCATGTGCCTGGTGTTGGGCTCTGTAGGGTTGGGACGGTTAGGGCCGGGCTTGTAAGCGCATATGGGGTGTGCTTCAGTCAGTCAGTCACAGTGTGTGTGTGTGTGCGCGTGCGTGCGTGCGTGCGTGCGTGCGTGCGTGCGTGCGTGTCCAGTCATGTGCGTGTGCAAGTTTGCGACCACTGCCGTTCTTGTTTGTTTGGGTCACATACACTTTGAGCTTACACAGTTTTCCTTGCAGGACCCCTTCTTTCAGAAGCATGTTCCAGTTGCTGAGATGCCCACGCTGCGTCGGGCACCTGAAGTATGCGGTGTCTTTCTGGCGTCATGTCGTTAGCCTTGGTGTTCATTTTGGTGCACCCCTTCCTGCCTTGGTTTGCGAGATTTTGCGAGCCAACTCCAGGGGCATCGACTCCATGCATGGGCCGAGGCTTCAGTCTCCTCGATGACTTGCGCTCCTTCCGCAGTCAGAACAAGCTGAAGTCACTTGGCTGCGCTGCGAAGGACATATTACAACTAGACATAGCTACTTGGGTTGCAATTTCGCTCGCAGAACAGTGAAGGATCCACTGCAAAGTCGTCGAGACGAGCAAGTTTATGAAGTCCAGCTTCAAACAGCATGCTATACATCGCTGCTTATCCGATGGAGTCTGGCTTTTCGGTCATGTTGCACGCGCGCCTCGGGAGCTCCAACGCTCCATTCAGAAAATCCATCGTTTCATCACCGGTTTGCTTGCGCTACCATTTCAATTCACGTGGTGGTCGCTTCGATGGGGCAGAGCCAGCGATTGGATTGCTGTCGCTGAGAAAAAGAAAACGAGTTGTCGGCATTGGGGTCGTGTGAGAACACGATAATAGCACACACACACACAGACACAGAGACACACAGAGACACACACACACACACCCCACCCACACACACAGACACACACACACACACACAGACACACAGACACACAGACACACAGAGACACACAGACACACAGAGACACACAGACACACAGACACACGGACACACGGACACACGGACACACGGACACACAGACACACAGTCACACACACACACACACCCACACACGCGCGCGCGCGCGCACACGCACACACGCACACACGCCCACACGCCCACACACGCACACACGCACACACGCACACGCCCACACGCGCACACGCGCACACGCACACACGCGCACACGCACACACGCACACACGCACTCACGTGCACACGCGCACACGCGCGCACACGCGCGCACACGCGCGCACACGCGCGCACACGCGCACACACGCCCACACACGCCCACACACGCCCACACACGCCCACACACGCCCACACACGCCCACACACGCCCACACACGCCCACACACGCCCACACACGCCCACACACGCCCACACACGCCCACACACGCCCACACACGCCCACACACGCCCACACACACACACACACACACGCACACACGCCCACACACGCCCACACACGCCCACACACGCCCACACACACCCACACCGCACACACACACACACACACACACACACACACACACACACACACACACACACACACACACACCCACACACGCCCACACACGCCCACACACGCCCACACACGCCCACACACGCCCACACACGCCCACACACGCCCACACACGCCCACACACGCCCACACACGCTCACACACGCCCTCACACGCCCACACGCGCCCACACGCGCACACACGCGCACACACGCGCACACGCCCACACGCCCACACGCACACACGCCCACACACGCCCACACACGCCCACACACGCCCACACGCCCACACGCGCACACACGCACACACGCACACACGCACACACGCACACACACAGACATAGAGACACACAGACACACAGACACACACACACACATACACACACACACACAGACAGACACACACACACACACACACCCACGCACGCACGCACGCACAGACAGACAGACGGACGGACGGACGGACGGACGGACGGACGGACGGACGGACGGACGGACGGACGGACGGACGGACGGACGG